TTCCTGCTGTTTTGCAGGTGAAGAAAGAATGCTCATAAACCTTTGGATTTGTAGCTATGTATTAGCAGACCTAGGGCACCAAAGTTCTTAACAACTTACGTTTTTTCTTATTGCAAAAGATTACATGTTTGTCGTAGGGAGTTTAGAAAATACTGACAAAAAGAAAGAAAAATACCCATAAACCCAATATGCAGAAATAACAGCTTTTACCATCTTTGCCTTGTAGTCTCTTTACTTGGCGTATATTTGTGTTGTGATACGATATCATACTATCTTTACTTTTTTATAGCTGGCTTCCTTTTTCATTTAATGATTCATGAACTTTCTGTGCCATAGAATAACCTGTGCTGTTCATTTTAATGGCTGCCGAATCATTTGTAGCAACATTTGCCCAGTTATCTCTCACAGTTCTTGAGTGCTTACCTAAGCACTGCGCTGAGCTCGTCAAAAGAGTTATCTTTTAAATATCGTAATAGCCCAGTGAGATGTAGGTTCTATATATTATTATTCAATTTATGGTTGAGGACATGACACAGAGAGTTTCTAGGGCGTGTAGTTTTAACTGTCCCAGTCATGCGTATACTAGAAAGCAGTATGTTTGCTGTCTGGTGAACTGTTTTTGTCAACATTCTTGTTCATGAACACCAAAAAACGATGGAAATGAAGCAGCCGTGTTGGGCAGGTGGGTCATGTTACTGTTTTGGTGATGGCGTGTTTGTGTTGAGCTGGTAGAACAAACCGTACTTGAGAACTCGCTGGCTGCAGCAGCAGAGCATGGTGGACCGGAGCACAGACTTGGTTGCCGGATTGCCTGGATTCCCATCCTGGTTCTACCACCTTCTGTATATGCCGCCTCCGTGTCTCATTTTCTTCATCTGTGAGGTCATCTGCCTTACGGTGTTGTGAGGGTTTTATGTTCAGTAACTACTAGCTGTCATTATTGTGAGCTAAAGTTTTCTTTCTCACTACTTGCCTTAAATTTCAAAGTAGAATTAAATAATTATATCATTGACTGTACCCTTATTAATTGGTGCCCCTCCTTTCAGGACACTGAGTCTTGAGTCACATAGTTACCAAGGTATGGAGTTGGGACTGCAGCCTGGGTCCGTCCTGTCTGGCTTATCCGTTTCTTGTAGCTCTTCCCCTTTCTTCTTCTCACTCTGTTTATTGCCATCATAGTTACTTTTTCTCTGGGTCTTTCTTTCCTCACCCCCGCTCCCTTTCCTTTTGCCTTTACCTCTCTTTCCTTTCTTCTACCTCCTCTTCGCATCCCCTTTTTCATTCCTCCCTTCCATTCCTCCCTTATTTCTCCTTCATTCTTTCCATTGACTCGCAACTTCAGTGACTCCATAGGCGGGTATTGCGTTAGATGATCGATAAGCCCTTGCTCGTCTCCAGTAGGAACCACAGAGATGAGCAGGCAGTCCCATCTTGTGTGGTAGAGCTGGGGTGGAGGGGAGGGGTGGGGGCTTCTGTGGGTGCCCACAGGAGGGGATTGAGCAGACCTGGGCTTGGGAAGACTTCTGGAACAAGTGACATTTGGGCGATGGCTTGAAGGCTGAGTCAGGGAGACCAGTATTTCAAACTCATTTGTCAATCATAATAGTGTATTGGTCTCTGAGTATTTTCAAGAGATTTTTAAAATTAATTAGATTGGCCAGGTTTATTTTAAAAGCTTTCCAAGGAAATATGAACTGACGCATTATTTCTTTCTCTCTGCAACAAGCAAAGGCTGCCCGAATCATACGATTCACTTTAGAACTGCAGTGAAAGTTGAACTCATCTTTTTAATTAACATCACTGATAATATTTTCGTTTTTCTGCTTATCTTTTGCTGTGTGACAACCACCCCAAAGCTTAGTGTTATGAAAGCGTCCATTTTATTGTGCTCACGGTTCTGTGGGTAGAGTAACCACTGTTGTCTTTAGTGATGGTAGCCATGGTCATGAGCTATTATATGGATATGATTCTTTAAATATTATCCTAGGCTCAAAATAACCAACTACTATTGTTATAGTCTTATTTTTTATAATTGTAAATTTAGTACCAGGCAACCTTCTGACCAACTGGTAATAAATTGAGGGTTCCCATGAGAGAACTGCTCACAGAACTCAGGAACACACTTTACTTATGTTTATCACTTAAGTTACCTCATTAGTGTCAATTGAGGTGTGATTGATAGGGGGTCCTTATGAATAAAAAAGACACTTCTATCAGATAACTCCAAGGGTTTTAGGAGCTCTGTGTCAGGAACCCTGGACAAAACCCAAATATATTTCTTATGTTAAAAAGCAAAATTCAGCCAAGTAAATTTGAAGATTTGATTGGCTTTATTTATGAATCAGGCAGCATTACATCTAGCGACCAGAAGGGTGCTTCGAGTGGTTGTGCAAAAATGGAAGGGATTTTATAGGAAAAAGGGTGGAGTAAGGGAGCTATTAGCAAAAAAAAAGAAAGGATTATTTTTTTGACCAGACATCTTTTTTTATGGGGGTGGGGAGGGATGACAGGAGTTTTATCATGCAGATTACCTCTTCCTCTGGGGGATTGTAGAGGGCCTACTTGATGGGTTACTTTATTGGTTTGACCAGAAAATTCTAGGCTGTTCAATTAAAACTACATTTCTGGGAGAGGTTGGAACTGCAGTGAAGTAACGTATAAAATATAGGTTTGCCATCATGGGCTTTTAGCATGCGACTGACACCATTTGGGGCCTGTGGTTTTCTTTCTAATACTTACTACACCCTGATGAGCATTATCAAATACTAGCAAAGATATGAGGAGATGGCAGCTTTCTTACAAGGCTGGTGTGAGTGTAAATTGTCTCAATCCCTATGTGGAAGTAATTTGTTAATACACTCAGACTGAGCTTGGTTATATCCT